CATCTAAAACCTTCTTCAGCGGGAGAGGAATTCTGCTCGGAAGGGTGGTTTCCGATTTGGGTTCAAGTGCTGGCTCGTCAGCTGGTCTTGGATGTCAGACATAGTAACCTCTGCAAGTGAATGTCCTTCGCTGGCAACGAGGTCAGAGAGACTCGCCGCTGAGTGTCCCCGAAACATGCTCGCACCAGGGCCCATCTGCCTAGGACGCCCTTCGTTGGCTATGCAGAAGGCAGGCGTTGGCAATTCAGCATCTCCCTGGACAAACCCACCTTCCACGCCCAGACCACCATCCCTCCCACTCTCACAGATCTCGGTTCAAGTTGCCTCAAACCCTTCAGTGCCACCCTTGACCTCTCTCTCTCTCTCTCCCTCTCCCTCTCCCTCTCCCTCTCCCTCTCCCTCTCCCTCTCCCTCTCCCTCTTCCCCCCAAAAAACACACTCATTCCATCTACAAATCCTGATGTATCACTCCTCAAAATTCAAACTCTATGCAGAACTGTCACTTCTCCCAACCTCTGCAACCACCCCCCATCCAAGCCAGCACCGCCTCTCTCTGCATTGTCACCATCACTTCAAACAGGTCCCTGGCGCTTCTCCTTGCCCCTAGGGAGCAGCCAAGTGGGCCTTTGGGAACAGTCTTGCACCTTGCCCCACCCTTGTGTCCTCCCCGCCACACACTGCCGTGTCACGCGGAATAAAGAGGTAACAGAGCTCTGTGAGGTGCCATAGCCTCTGGCCCCATCAGCCCCCTCACGGCACCTCCCTCACTGACCTGCCCCTCCTTCTCTAGCCATGTGGCCCCTGGTCACTCTTCCAAGGAACTAGGCTCATTCCCACCACAGGGCCTTTGCATTGATTCCTTAACCCACTCAGACCCTCTTCCCTAAGCAGCCAGCCTGGCTCTGACAGCTCCCCGTTCTTTGCTTCAATGCCCCCCTCCCAGACCATACCATGTCACAGCAGCCCCTTCGCAATGTCTGTGCCTCCCTCCTGCTTACTCTTCTCCGTCCCTCTTGCACCACGGGGCTGGCTGGCTTGCTTATTGTTTGTCTGTTTATTAATAGCCTGTCTCCTTTTAGTATAATGTCACCTCCATATGTGTGGAGCCATCTGGAAAAGGGCTGTACCTGCATCCAGACCCTGGCACTGGGTGCTCATGAGGCTGTGAGAGAGACGATGGGTCCTGGAGAACAGCTTCTGAAACCAGGCACCCACTGCATGCATGGACAGGGTCACGGGCCTGCCACACAGACACGCTGCAGGTGGGGCCAAGACAATGGTTTTCCTGCCTAGACTCATCCCAAGCTTTGCTCACCACGTGGGAACAAGAGGATCAGATTTCACCACATGGATCGAGGGAAACGGAAGAGGAAACAGCTGCCCTAATTCTCGCTTTTAAGACATAGTTATCTGGCTCACTATTAAAATGTGCGCTGGTGAGCAACGGGGGCAGACGGATTGCATTAACCGCCTGGGAAGGCCCCAGCAGGGTGGCGCTGTCCCAGAGGCGCATTCAGATCTAAAAATAACTGTTTGTGTTGGGTTTTATGTGAGCTTAGGACCAGGCTTCATTTTTCCCAGATAGATAGTCCCTGATGTGGCACAGTCACCGAAGCAGCCATTCTCTCTCCTGCGCTCTAGTCTCTCCTTTGTTATAGATCAAGTGTCCACATGGGACGGTCCTGTTCCTAGACTCTATTCAGTTCCAATACCACACTTCTCATTACTCACTCAGTTGTATACATTACTCTTCTCTGTCATCAAAATAATGACTGCCACCATCACCATCATCACCATCACCATCACCACCACCACCATCATTACCATCACCATCACCACCATCATCATGCCATCATCACCAATACCAACACCATCACTATCATCATCATCATCTTGGTAATTAACAGTTATTGGTATGATTATTATGTACCAGCAGCATCGCATGCACTTAACCAACTCCATGAGATGAGATCAGTATTATTATAAACCGTATTTTACAGATGAGGAAACTGAGGCCCAAAGGAGGTGGATAGAACTCCCAAGATCACACTGCTCCCAAGTGGCAAACAAGGATGTGCCCCATCTTTGTGGGAACCTGCGTCTTCTAGGACTTTCTATTTTCACCTCAGTCCTTCCCTCAGCTACCACCTGCCCTTCCGTTACCTGGCGCCTCTCTGGTGTCGACGAGGCTGTTTCTGGTTGTGGGACAGACAGGCCTGGCCCGAGTTTGCTCTGTTTTATGAACAGACAAATGAGTAGATTTAATCTCAAATAAGATTATTAGTCCTTGTAAACCTTTTTAAAGATCAAGACTGGCCGCTTTGGGAATCACTGGTGTTTACCCCGGGGAGAAACTTCAGGTTGCAGGCAGGGCTCAGCACAGGCAGGGCTGCCTCCAGATGCACCTGGAGGAAACTCCGCTAGGAGGCTCCACTGAGCTTTCTTTATGCTGACACCCCTCACCCAACTCCTCATCCACCTGGCCTGGGAGTTCCTGGGAGCTTAGATCAGCACTGAAGGCAGCGTCCTTGGTGCCAGGGAGTTGCCCCAACAACTCACAACTGGTCCACCCATTGCCTGGAGAAGCAATGCGCTCTATGTAAGGGGCGAGCCCTGGACAGAACAATCCCAGAGGGGGAACAAGTAGCCCTGGAAGCCTGGGGCCCTGAGTGCTGGCGGCTGAATGCGCAGGGGAGAGTGCAACCGAGGGGAGCAGAGGGTGGCAAGGACGCCTTGGACAGGAAGGCCCCACCTTCTCCGAGCACAGGATTCGCTGCTGCTGATGACGCCCCGCTGACTCTTCTGCTGAGTCCCCACTGGCCGGAAGCCAGCGCGGAGGGGGTGCTAACTGCGCTCAGGTAGCACTCGGGCAGGCGATCTCACAGGCTGCCTCGGAGCTGCGGAGGCGCTATTAATTGGGGGACACTTTAACACCCCTGCACGGTGGTGTTAACACCAGCTTAGCAACCTGGCTGGTTAATAGGGGGAAAGAGTAAGGGGTTGATTTAAAGAGACACGGCAGGTGAGAAACTAGAGTCACTGCAAATGTTTTCATGCAGGGAGAGAGTTTGGGATTCTTCACATGTCATGGGAGGTAAGGGTTTAATCTTGTTGATGTACATGTATGGAATTTTGTGGTTTTCTTATGAATCAGTATGGTGTCGTATAGATCACAGTATCGCATTGGAAAGAGAGTTAATAAGACAGGACATGAGAAGAGAGAGGCGTGGAAAAGGGCATTCTGGAAAGAGTGTGAGTGCACAGGGCATCTCTCCAGTCCTAGGATGTAACGCCCCTGGGATGGTAGTTAAGGGGCGGGGGCAGGTCCATATCTTCACCCACTGGGGCAAGGCTGGCCGAGCCCCTGACCCTGGAGAGAATTCCTCACACCTTCCTGGACAGCCCGCATGTGCGGAAGGCCGGCCACGGCGGCAGGTGGCTCCATCACTGGGCTCATTGTCAACTACATGCTGGGGGGTGGCCATCGTCTGCCTGCGGGTAGACAGGCTAGAGAGGGAAAAGGTGCTGTCACTTCTAGTCCGGTGCTACCAGCCGCCGCACACCCAGAGGGCCAGGTGGAAGGGCTTCCCCTGCAGAAGTGCGTCCCCCCGAAGTCGTGGGCCCTCCAACTAAAGGTCACGTGCAATCGGCAGGTGTGCTGCGTGGTCAGGGCCCTGGCAGAGATCAAAGACAGGCGCCTGGAGGAGAGGATGTGCCCCGAGGGGCGGGCAGGCAGGGTGGAGCAGCACTGGCACATGGAGAGCTCCCCAGGAGTGTCTGGGACACAAGCTGTCCCTTCTTTGTCAGCAGATGGGCTCAGGCAGGGAAATTCGAGTCCAGCGCCAAGCGGGAGCCGACGCTGCACCTTCTGGCTCACTGTGCAAACCCACCTCGGCGAAGGCTCAGACAGACTGGGTTCCCCTTTACGAGGCCCAGGCAAGGGGATCTAGGGCTCACCTTTCACACTCAGCCCTAAAAATAACCTTGTAGTGCCGACCGGCATGGCTCACGCTCACCTATGAACCAGAGCTCACGGCTTGATTCCCATCAGCGCACATGCCTGGGGTGTGGGCTCCACCCCAGTGGGGGACGTGCAGGAAGCAGCCCATCAGTGATTCTCTCTCATTGTTGATGTTTCTATCTCTCTCTCCCTCTCCCTTCCTCTCTGAAATCAATAAAAATTATATTTTTAAAAAAATAACCTTGATGTGTTGAGCTTAGTGGGAGGCAGGGTTTGGTTTTACGGTCTCCCTCCAGCAGGGCCCCTACCCTGGCTCTGGGCCTTGGCAGCACATGCTGCTCCCATCACCCTGAGGGGCTCACCCGGCCCTGGGAACACACAGCCCCACCCTCTGAGGGCCGCGTGCACTGGCAGGAAGGGTGGCAACTTCCGTGTGGGGGCAGCTTGGTGCCCACGGGGCAGTGGTGGGAGCTGTGACCTCACAACAGGCTGGAGCCCAGATTCGTCCTCTAGGCAACCGGCAAAGGGGGCATTCATATTGGGGGGGGTGGGGGGGGAGGTTGACACAGCAGATGCTTAGGTTGCTGTAACACAATACTATAGACTGGGTGGTGCCTGAACAACAGAAATGGTTTTTCATGGTTCTGGAGGCTGGACATCTGAGTTCAAGGTGCGGCTGGTGCGGTTCCTGGGAAGTCCTTCCTGGCGTGCAGACGGCTGTCTTCTCAGCGTCCTCACAAGGTGGAGAGAGAGAAGAGGAGGGAGAGAGAAAGCGAGCTGGGGTTCCTCTTTTCTAAGGACACTAATCCCACCAGGGGGCCCATCCTCATGACCTCATCTGACCTAACCACCTCCAAACACCACCTCAGTGGGATTAGGGCTTCAACATGGGAACTGGGGTGTGGGGAGCACAAACATTCGGTCCATAACACCATGTGTTCTGGTTGTTTAAGGAATATTTGCATTAGGTTAGTTCTATGATTTACTGAACATTCATTTTCACTAGCAAACACTTTATTCTAGACAAATAGTGGGTTATAGCACATTTAAGGTACACTGTTCATTTTAAAGTGGTTTAAGAATATTACTGCAGCAAGTGGGAGCTCCGACACTGGGGTGGTGATGTTGGTAAATAGCTCTGTGTGTGTCCCATAAGCGAGATGCATACACTCTCCGCGCTGAGCAAAGCTGGGTCCTGGGAGGGGGCCCCAGTCGCTGCAGCCTGACGTGTCAGATCAGCGGGGGCACTTCTGGGTCATCTTCAAAGCCTGGATCTTCCTCATGTGGCATGACTTTGGGTTCGGGTCGGACTCTTCTGGGTGCGGGTGTTTTCTCTCTGACTATGTTAGCCACGTCGGGGAACGAGTGCTTACTGGGATCCACCTCGAGTTTCTCAGTTTGTCTGCTTCTAGAACAACAACAAAAAAGGCCAAGGGAAATTGGAACATCGTTTAAAATTAAATCACAAATGGATTCAACTCACACATTCATTTCTGCAGCAAACGTGGTAGGTACTACCCCTGCAGCATAGCAACGCCGATAAGAGGCTGTGCCTGGTTTCCCGTGGCTCGGGGTCATGAGCATGACCTTGGAGTAATGGGGTGTGAACAAGTGCTACCGGGCTGTGCGAAGGTCCAGGCAGCTGCGGAGTGGTCAGCTGGTCCAAGGTCTGCTTACCTAAGTCAAAACCAGCTTCCCACAGCCGGGATCACAGTGGAATCGCTCCAGGCAGGTCTTACTCCTGAGTGTCGCTACTAAGGCCTATGGACCTGCTGGGTCAGACAACCCAACCTGCAGTGGTTCGGCAGGAGCGTTCACACTACAAGTGCAGATGCTTAGCCGAGCTCCGCCTACCACGTTCCTCGCCCAGGAGAACCTGCTCCTCCTGCCCACACCCAGAGATCCCAGCAGCAGCTGTAGTGAAACACAGGACAGAAGCCCCACTGGCCAGGGATTCCCATTGTAAGAGTCGGTGAAACTCTAGATGGGGGGTGGGGAACGTCTGGCCCAAGGGCGGTATTATCCCCGTAAAATCATTTGGCCTGGCCCGGCCAAGGCATCAGGGGTGAGTTGATTAAATGTTTGACCAAATACAGCAGGCCAATTTTTAAGCTGATCATTTTGTATGGTGCATGAATGATGTTATAAACATCCAAATGGCCACTGGCAGGAAAAAGGTTCCCCACCGCGGGTCTAGATAATACAGGTCGCTGGGCTGCTTTTCTGGCCATTTCAATTCCATAGTCCGGAGTTGGGCCCAGTGAGCAGTATTTATAAAAAGTTCCCCTGGTGATTTTGTCGATCAGTCAAATTATTTTGGAATCACTGCACCATTCATCTAGTCCAGTGGTCGGCAAACTCATTAGTCAACAGAGCTAAATATCAACAGTAAAACGATTGAAATTTCTTTTGAGAGCCAAATTTTTTAAACTTAAACTATATAGGTAGGTACATTGTTATTAACTTAATTAGGGTACTCCTCAGGCTTAGGAAGAGCCACACTCAAGGGGCCAAGAGCCGCATGTAGCTCGCGAGCTGCAGTTTGCTGACCACGGATCTAGTCAGTTATTCCATAGATATATGCTAAGTGTCTACTACATTCTAAACACCAGCCATCCAGTGGTCCGTGCAGACAGGTCCCCTGGTAACTACATCCAACAGTGTAGTAAGACCTTGACTGTACACTACAAGCTATGCCGGAAGTTATCGTTTTCAGGGACCCACATTAAAGTCATTATTAGCCCTGACTGATGTGGCTCAGTAGGTTGAGCATCGTCCGTGCACTGAAAGGTTTCCAGTTTGATGCCCGATCAGGGCCCATGTCTGGGTTATTGGCTTGATCCCCAATAGGGGGCCTGCAGGAGGCAGCCAATCGATGTTTCGCTCTCACATCTATGTTTCTGTCTTTCTCTCTCTCTCCCTCCCTCTCTCTCAAAGAAAATCTTTAAAGAATATTTAAAGTCATTATTAAATAGCGTTCTACTTTTTAATTACTAGATTCTTATTGAAAAGGCTATGATACCAGTGGCTTAATTAAGTAAACACCCAAATCATCTATTATAATTGCGTTGTCCTTGACTTAGTGGAAAAACAGCCTCTCTCGCTGCCAGCGTGTCTCCTGGGCCACAACTTCCGGTCTCAGTAATAGAGAGTGAGCTCAGCCTGGACGGGTCACCTGCCGCTCTCCCACCTCGGAGGCCGAGGGCTGACTGGCAGGCAGGACTTTAATTACTCCTGACGCTCTGGGTAAGGAACAGCGAGCAGCCGGCCTGGGGCGCGAGGGCCGCACTCATCCCCACAGAAAGAGGCGGCGGCTCTTCTCCCTGCTGCTTCCTCCTCAGGGCCCGGGGCCTGAAGCCCAGGTGCCCAGCGTGGTCTCACCCACCACCTGGCTGCCAGAAGCAGAACCGCTAAGTCTAGTAAGGAAAACTGGAAGACAAAATTGATATACTTATTACCAAAAAAGGAAGCAGAAAAAAAAAGTATTACTAGGCGTAAAACCATCAAAGATTGATTCGGTCTATTAAAGAGCGTAAGAATAGCGATACGCGGGCTGGCATATTTGGCCCAAAGTCTCCCATTTCCAGCTGAAATTTTTCTAGAGGTCATGAAGAACCTGACAGTAAGGAACGACCAGAGATCAGAACTTAGTGGATACAGGAGCCCAGAGAGGGAAGCAGATCCTGAAGCCATTTTTGCCCCGAGGGCATCTGCTGGGCCCCCGAGGCTGTGCTTGGCCACGCTGACCCCATGGAGTCCGGGGACAGAGGCCAAGTTCCTGAGCGGGCCAGGTGGGCAGTCTTACAGGGCGAGGGTGGGATCTCGGAGGGCTCCTTTCCTGTCGGAGGGAATAAGAAGTGAGCCCACCGCCGGGGCTGAGAGGAGGCTGGCCCCGCAGGACTGAGGAGAGCTGAGTTGTCACCACACGCTGACATTTCCATAAGATCTGGTGGTTTCCATGGCAGCGGGCAGTTAAAAACCCTCAACCTTGAATTTAGAGTCAACTGGTTTCCCACTGGCAGTGCCTTCGGGTCTGCCCCAGAGCGCCTGCCAGGGCTTCCTGGCCGAGCACCTTCGGGACGGGCCTGGTGGGCCCAGGGCAATGTGGGTAATGAAGTTTGTCGGTGGCTCAGGAGCACCACACACCAGGTATGGTCGCGAGGGGATCAATTCTTACTAATCAAGATGAAAATAGCATCGGAGGTGCTACTGGGAAGAATGGCGCAAAGACCTCTCCAGTCACCGAGTGGGATCACAGTGACACCGGGTTTCCTGGGTGTGAAATCGGCTCCAAACTACTTGCGCGACCGGGCTTCCCGTCGCGACCCGATCCCTCCCAAATGAGGTTCCGATCTTTACATGTTGATGCCATGTTGATGCTGTTGGGGGTTAATTTTGACTGTGAGTACCCATGACAGTCACGGTGCCCGTGAGTCTCTGTCGGTTACACGTGTATCTGAAATGGAGATCACGGCTGGGACACACGAGTGGGTCTCCAAGGCGAGCAAAGCTCCGCACTCTCCAGGAGGAACTGAATGCCATACCCGTTCAAACCAACCCGTGTTAGAAACCCCTGCGAACCGCCGCCAGCGGTCTCTGAATGCACGCGCGCCTATCTGCTTGTATGATGCAAGAGATCAATACAGCCCCTGCTCAGGTGTTTATAGGGTGATAATTCCAGCATAGACATTGGTGTCACCAAGATAGTGTGCGGGGGTTCAAAACAGACTCTGCCATCTGGCCCGCAGGAGTCTGGAATCATGGCAAGTAGAAGGAAAGTTGAAAGAATTGGGGTGTTCATTCTGAGGAGGAATTGGGAAACAATGAGAGCTTTGTCCAAAATACTGTAAGGGGCATCCCTGCCTGGGGGGAGGGGGCTTTGTTTGAGGGTCCCCGGGGGGCAGAGCCGGAGTCTTCAGTGAGGGATCAGAGAGGCTTGCCAACACCAGCAAATACTCAAAAGGGGTGGACGTTCTCTTGAGAGGGTGAAGGTCCCGGTGGGACGAAGCTTAAGCGAAGGCTAGATGATGACCTCTCGCAGGAGGAGACACGTCGGGGCCTCTGGCCCCGGCAGCCTGAGAGGTGGGGCTCCATGGGCTGACATGTGGACCGTCCGGGCAGGCAGTGTGCGCAGCACCAGCAGCAGGCTCCGACACGACCTCCCTCTCCCTCACGCTCCCCATCTTTGAACTGAGGACACAGCTCGTGCGGGTTCACGTGCTGGCACAGGGCAAGGGCTCAGGAAACGCCCGCAGTGTCGCTGCTGACACCACCATTTGTATTATCGCAAGAAATCGGGACCTACAGGGACACCGATTTGTTTTCGGGGACCCAGGGCCTTGCCCATCACGAGTCTAAGTTTTGGGAGCTAACCTTCCTGGTATGACTCACTTTGAAACTTTAAATAATTGCATCTCTTTGGGAGGTGCTCCCAGCGGCCCGAGAGAGGGAAGAGAATGAGATGATGAAGCCACAGACAGCCCAGCCCGGAGGCGGTACCTTTCGCCTGTGTGCTCCCTGCTGCTCTCCGAGGTACTCGGCACAGACGCGGGCGCTCGCGGGCCCCCTGTGATCACTTCTCCCACCTGGAATGAAAATACAGCACACGCTAAGCGGAGTGTTACGCTCTGTCATGTCTTTTAACATATGACACATGAATATGGATATGGCTTAAGACGCTAAAGCGCTTTAATTTTCACTACACAGTCCATGGCAGAGCCTCACTTTACACTCTGTATGTGGCCTGGAAGGTATAAAACAGAATAGATCTGTTCACAATAGTCTTGTAAGGCCAGAGCTATGTTTCAAAGGGCATGCCGGGGATGCGGCGAGTGAGTTCCGTTTACTAATGAGTTTCCTGAGCGCCAGCAGCAGGCCCGACCCTTGGGGAGTGCTGGGGACCCAGATGGGACTGACACACCGCCCTGAGGAGCGCCCTGCGAACATGCTGCCGAAAGTGCTCTAAGCCGGGACCGAGAGTCCCCGTCCTCCCAACTCATTGGGCTCCGGTCTCTTCCTCTGAGAAATGAAGGAATTAGATGTGATCTCCAAGGTCCCTTCCTGGTCTGAAAAATTCTGTGATGTTACCGCTTCTTTTTCGCTAAATGACCTCAGTGCTGCGCACGGGAGGTCTCCACAACGAAAACCGATCGATCGGATCCAACAAACATCCAGGACAGCTGTTCAGACCCAGGACCCTCCCTCAGGAAGCTCGCCGGGGGAGGGGCGGGGAGGCCGTGCGGGTGCATGTCAGCCCTGACAGCATGCCGGCCACGCTGCTGTGCCAGCCAGGCAGTTTACACATTTCCCTTACTTAACCCCCCAACTCCCCGTGTCCCCATGAGACAGGGATTGCGTGTAGGCGGAGAGAAGGAATTTGAAAACTGGCCTCCTGTTGCCTTGGTCCCCTGGCCAACGTGGGGGCTTGCGCCCTTTCTTTTCAAGGGAGAGAGAGATCCGAGTGTCCATGGCTCTCTCCACCCTCATCAGCAGCTTCTCTGTGGCGGGGGAATGCTTCATTCACTGGGCACATCTCCCTGGTGGGCAGGTCACTCCTCTGACAGGTGAGGGACACATTTTAATCATATGAGTGAGGCCAAGGTTAGTGAAAATTTACTGCAGCATTACTTCCAATAGCCAAGATCTGGAAGCAGCCCAAGTGCCCATCAGTAGATGAGTGGATAAAAAAGCTGTGGTACATTTACACCATGGAATACTATGCAGCTAAAAAAAAAAAAATGGAGCTCTTAGCCCTTGTGGCAGCATGGATGGACCTGAGAGTATCATGCTAAGCGAAATAAGTCAGACAGAGAAAGACAAGTACCATATGATCTCACTCATATGTGGAATCTGATGAACAAAATAAGCTAATAAGCAAAATACAGACAAAATCATAGATAGAGAGAAGGCTGACAGCTGTTGGGGGTTGGGGGTGGAGGGATAGAGGAAAAAAGAGAAAAAACTCATAGACACGGACAACAGTGTGGTGTCTGCGGGGAGGGGGAGGAGGGAAAGGGGGGTAAATGGTGATGGACGGAGACTTGACTTGGGGTGAGCACACAGTGCAGTGTACAGATGTGTGGCAGAGTTGTGCACCTGAAACCTGTATAATTTTGATAACCAGTGTCATCCCAATAAATTCAATAACAAGGGAAAACATTTTAAAAAGATATGTTGAATTTCTTCTTAAAGTTGGTGGGATTAAGTAAATTATAAGACTGTGTAATAAAAGTAGATATTACAGAAAAGAATAGCAACTTTAAGAAGAAGGCTCTTGAGCCCAAGGTCCAAGTTGTGTATCTCTTCATATTGTAAATGCACCAACAAGAACGGGAGCACAGGCATAATTAGCGTCTTAAAACACCCATTTCTAACACTGTTACTTGTCACGTAATAAGCTCAGACGAAGATCCTCTGTGTTTATGGAAATGCAAACAGAATCACAAATGTGGGACTTTCTTCGCAGAGAATGCTGTGCACCAGAATCTAAATGTGTCCCTTCTTTTTAAAAGCTATTTTCAGCTCAGTTAGTTTCAAAGGTCCCTTTAAGCTGAAAAGTTAGGAGGGACTGAGAGCTCAGCCGTGTGTGAGATGCTGACACCCACATTCACATGAACCGCAGGCAAAACTCTGCTGGTGAGAGACTCCTGCTCCCGATTGGAGGACCGTGGGCTGGGCGCTCCGGGGCAATGACCTCGGACTCCTGCCATGCCCGCGGCGGCGTAGGGCTGCTCCTCCTCTGGGGGGGATGCCATGTTCATTAACATCAAGCATCTCCTTCATTTGTGCTAAGCACGCTCAGGAGCGACTAATGGAAACCCTGGGAGAACCAAAATACAGACTGTTTAATACATTCGGTAACGTGGGACTAATGGTTTCCTGAATCCACAGAGAGACACGTAAGCAGCTACTTGAAGAGTGGGTTGTGGGAGAGGCACGCGGGTCCAGATGAGTGTTTTCAGGATGTCAAGCCTCACTTGACCACGTGCAGAGCCGTGCCGCTGACTGTCCTGCAGAGGACGCAGTCCCTTCCGACACTTTCCTGACAGGTGACTGCTGGCCTTTGCTGAAATAGTGCCCCAGGGATGAGGTCGCATTACCTGCCTGGCAGCACCCTGCACGGACACGGTCTCTGTTCACTTGACCGCCATGTGTGTGGCTGCTTCACCAATTCTGAGAGCTGCCGACGCGACTCGCCGAGGCTGGGTGAGCCGTGTAAAAAGCCAGTGAACAGATGCCAGGGAGAGAGACACGGCTTTTCTTCCTGATGTTGAGGTTGAGCCGCAGAAATGACCAGTATCTGATCATTTTTGACCCACACAGCGGTGATTTCACATGGTTCGACGTCAGAGTTATTTGTGTGAAGTTGAGTGAGAAAGGGCCGACATCACTCCGTTTCAGATGAAGATTTGCTGGTGGCAAATGAAAAGAGGGACTGGGCAAAGAAAACGGGGTGTAATCAGACGTATTTGCTGAGCCTGCTCCACACTGGGGCGTAGGAACGGCCGAGGGCAGACCTGGGCCTGCGGGGATGATGGTCAGGGGAGTCAACAGGGAAAAGGCAGAAGAAGGACCAAGGAGCCCAGTGTCGCTCACTGTTCTCCCCACAGCAATTCCCACAGCGCTCTCTTCATGCCAGCTTCTTAATAAATCTTTGGTAAATTGAATAAATATTTTAATTGATTGATTAATAATTCATTCATTGTCTAAAGTTGTTCATGATGTTGCAGAAAGCTTTCTATTTCTGATAGCACCCCACTCCCACGTTGGGACAACCCAACAGACGAAGTCATTCCCTCGCCTGGTACTAATGCCTCCCGTATAATTTATTGACGGTGCATCAGCATTTTGTTTGGTGTGCACACCCAACGTCTTCGCCCATGCCTCAGAAGTAGTTTCTAAAAATGTCTCCCCATTATTTTCTTCGTAAAACTTCCGCACTGCCTACGCCCATTAGAAACCAGTGGCCTTGACATAGGCCCGTGGCCTGATGGGCGGGTGGGGGAGCAGGATCAGTGAGTGGGAGGGCCCTCAGCCACGGGCCCGCCCTACACTGAAATGGCAGCTGCTTCCACCAATCCTGTAGCAGCTCCAGAAGCAGTGGGTCACATAAACTGTTCACCTGTTTACATATCTCTGGTGTTTCTGTTGATTGGTTAGTTATCCATAATTCTGATATTGAACATTTTAATATGCAAAGTTCAGATTCCTAAAACAGAGGAATCCTATATAATAAAAGGCTAATATGCAAATCAACCAAACAGGGGACCGACTGGTCACTATGACATGCACTGACCACCAGGGGGCAGACACTCAATGCAGGAGCTGCTCCTTGATGGTCAGTGCACTCCCACAGGGGGAGTGCCATTCAGCCAGAAGCCGGGCTCACAGCTGGCAAGTGCAGCGGCTGTGGCGGGAGCCTCTCCTGCCTCCACGGCAGCACTAAGGATGTCTGACTGATGGCTCAGGCCCACTCCCAGGAGGCCTATATCCCCAGAGGGCTCCTGGACTGCAAGCGGGCGCAGGCTGGGCTGAGGGACTGCTCCCCCCCCCCCCCCCCATCGAGTGCATGAATTTTTTGTACTGGGCCTCTAGTATTAATATAAAACTTTAGAATCTATAAGACATTTTTATTTCCCTCTGGCATTAGACTACATTTATATATATAAACTCTTTGAACAGATAAAAATACCTATATAAGTCAAACATTTCTGAAGTATATTCTATCTCAAATAAGTACATACATAGCAGCAAAGGAAATTTAAATTCTGAAAAAACAAACAAACATAAAAATACTAGCTTTGATTCCAAAGTTACCCAAGTTGTCGGAGGAAATTTTTAAAAGGCGCGATTACTGATCTTTCTATGTGAAATCAATATTGACAGTTACAAGACTTTGAAGTAAAAGTAGAACATGTCTAACTAACAATAGGTCCTTCAAAATTCTCTCATGCTTGTAAGGTGCAATCTCATCTGACACCCACAACACAGCCTAAAACGGAAAATGTTTGAGGAAGTTAGGACGAACATCAAGGGTGATAATGATGTTTAAAAAGAAGAGAAAACATCCTTTGACAGTCTCACTAGGGAGTCTCGGTTGGAAATGTCCTCCATCCACATGACCATCCTGCTTGGTCCACACCAGCCACAGGGCGGAAGTGCTGGGACGTTTATACCACCCCTTCCCCACCCCAGCACCCCCACAGCAGGAGCAGCCATCAGCCACAGAGCCTGGGGCTGGCGTGCCCCATCCCAGCCCCATCACCCCTTGGGCAGAGGGGTCCCGAGGTGTTCGATCTGCACCCTAGAGCTGCCCGCGGGGATGCTGGCTCAGTAGGACACTGCCGAGGGCTGCTTCCCTTCCCTGCTCCCGACCAGCATCCCCTCACTGACCAAATTGACTGCCGCACTCACAGCACTACAGTAGCTTCCGCTTCTGGGAGACCTCAAGTTAAAACAGTGTTTCACAGCCTGTGTCTCACAATCTAACCCTGCAACAACCGTGGGACTCAGGAGGGAGGGAACAGCCTGGTATAACCAGACTCCCAAACACTGACTGAGTTTCTCCTGGCGCCCACTCATGTCTCAGGGAGCGCCTAGCTTAACTGTGTGTGCTGTGGACTATTTGAAAAAAAACAACAACAAAAAAAACCAATTATCTGCTTATCTATCTATTATCTATCTATCTATCTATCTATCTATCTACTTATCTATCAAAAATTTGAGTCCATGGCGATGTTTACTTCCTCACTGGGTTTGTGAGGCATGTGTGAGTGGTTGGTACTCACCTAAGACCATCTTCATTCAAGTCAAGGCCTAGTTTGGAAACCATTTAGACAGGCTGCAAGACGTTCTGAGGATCGGGTGTCCTCTCATTGACCTCCCCTCCTTCAGTCATATTGCCAAGTGGGGGAGGTTTCTAGAACCCCTATCCACGGAAGCCTCTGAAATGTGACTCTTTTCTTCTCATCCCTGCGTAGTCACTGAAAACATGGTTTATTCCCTTGGCCATTCCTTCTGAATCACTGGGCGGTAACTGCTCACTATCTTAGTAGGTACTGATATTCCTGAGATGTTTTAAAAATACGTAGCGGTTCTCAACCTGTGGGTCGCGAACAATGAAAATACATCCTGCATAGCAGATATTTACATTACGATTCATAACAGTAGCAAAATTACAGGTATGAAGTAGCAACGAAAATAATTTTATGGTTGGGGGTCACCACCACATGAGAAACTGTATTAAAGGGTCGCGGCATAAGGAAGGTTGAGAATTTTTCCTCATTGTGTTTGCTCTTCCTGATTCTCTAGTTGGCAACTAGCAGATGATGGAGACCTAGAGGTGTTACTTAAAATCCTTAGATTAGAAGAGATCATGTGTGGGATGAATATACATGGAGAAGAAAAAGGGTCCCAGAATTCAGTCACTAGGCTGGCCAACTCTCAGAGGCCTGGCCAGGAGAAAGGGCCAGCAAGCAGACATAAATGTCTGTGCTAAGAGTTTTGCTGTAAAGCAGGTCAGGGCAGTAAGTGGAGGGTGGCGTTTTCATTGTGCTCTGCTGTTAGGAAGGGAGATGGCTCAGCATGTTTCCTAACATAAGGTGCAGAGGGGAAACGCGACCAGCAGCAGAGAGAACAGGGGGCTGTCGGAGGGGACCGTGGCCTCTCCAAGGCCAGTGGAAACAGGAGCCCACACACACTTGGGGGGTTTGGATGGATCACAGCCAGCTCATTCGTAGAGTCCGGAAGGAAGGCCTAGCAGGGGAAGACAAGAGGGATGAAGTCTGTGGAAGTTAACCTGCTGCTTCTGGAAGTTTTAGGAGTGAGGAGGAGTGTTCTAGAAAAGAGTGGAAGTATTAATGGAACAGGACGACCCAGCAAGCCCTCACTGAAATGATCACCCAGAGACTAGAGGTGAGTTCAGGATGGGCACAGGCAAGTCTCTCTGAGTAAAACGTCCTGAGAAATGGATGTCCAACCGATAAGGAGAAGGGCATCTGAGACTGTGTTTTTTAGAGTCATGGCCTGTAACAGTGACCTTCACATTGACCTTCACCTCTGTGCTCACTAGAGCAGAACCGAGCAATATGTTCACCCACTGGAGCTGTAAGTATATTTTGCTGTTCTGTTCACATGGCAACTTCCTTAATCTCGGTTAATTATTCTGCAAGAACTCCCACAGGACATCATGGAGCATATTCCTGGAGTGTCCCTATAATTGTCTGTTGAGGGCCTAGATGGGAGTTTAATTTAATGACTTGATGCAAGCCCCTCGGTGAACGCAAATGTTCAGTGAAGTCCGGTTAGGCTGCCCTGGGAGGAGGTCAGGTGCCTCACCCTCCCCGGCCGCTGGTGGGGAGGCTGTTTACAGGCGTATAACTCAGTCCGACCTCACGCTTAAGAAAATATACGGAAGGCCAAGCATAAACTCTAGGAAAATGTAATGCGGGAATTCCCACTCAAAATGGGAACCCAAACTGTACGTATGGTACCTGCGAATATGTAGCAGCTCTAGAGAAAAAAACTACAAAAAAACTTCTGAGAGACATAAAGTAAGAGTAATAAATGGAAAACATGCATTATTGGATATGGAACTTTTATGGTTTTCAGGTGTATTGAACATGGAAAATTTACAGCTCTAAACAGCGAAAGGCTCATGGAAATAGGATGCTGTGTTTATTTGGAAGATGCATTAGCAGCGGCAGCAAAGGCTTCGGATCAGCTACCCGCCCCCTGCGATAGCACAGGAACCATGATCTCCTCTGAGGAAGGAGCAGCTGCCATTCAGTCTTTGGCTTCTCAGTCAGAATGGAAGTTTCCCCAACACACACACACACACACCCCGCTGATCATAGTGTTATACAAATGCCTACATCAAAGTCCTGAGGTAATTAAGTGATCTCTTCCATTTCCCTATAGGATATTCTAATTAGCATACATTTCCTTAATTCGCTGCCGTCACCAAGGACAATGAGATTCTTCCAGTTGTATTTATTTTTTTTGCTCGACAACAAATTGTACTTGCTGTTTTATGGCCTCAGAGTGAAAATACATAGATTATCCATAATCAATCTGTGGCAAAACTGGCTCCGGGAGAACGAAGGATTATTAGGTCATTATCGAAGCCTCCCTGGTCAATCAAGGACAGACTGGCTGCGGCAGTCACGCCGGCCATCTCCTTCTCTTCTTCACAAGCCAAACCCCATGTTAACTGGCTTATCTATTCTTCCCCTTTGACCCGAGCGACTTGGGCAAAGCTGACCCACCCCCAGCTCACGCCATGAGGTGACAGTAACCAAATGGAAAACAATGGAAACGCAACAAAGCGCTACCATCTCTTTGGCCAGAGATCGGGTCACGTGTCCAGGACTGAACTACAGACTCAGCTGGCCGAACCAACCAGAGGACCTGTTACTCCACGGCGACAGGAGAGAGCGCTTTGTCTCTTTCTCTGATTCATAGCAAAAGTACATCTACGCCAACCCTCCCCCCAAAGAGCAGGCAAAAAGGAGTTTTAGTTAAAATAATATCTTGTCGCCGAAACCGGTTTGGCTCAGTGGATAGAGCTGCGGACTGAAAGGTCCCAGGTTCGATTCCGGTCAAGGGCATGTACCTGGGTTGCGGGCACTTCCCCAGTGGGGAGCGTGCAGGAGGCAGCTGATCGATGTTTCTCTCTCATAGATGTTTCTAACTCTCTATCTCTCTCCCTTCCTCTCTGTAAAAAATCAATAAAATATATTTTTTTAAAAAATAAAATAAAAAAAAATAATAATAATAATATCTTGTCCGTATCATAAACATGATATGAAAAATAACACTGGCAATATCTATTGAGTGCTCACGGTACATGAATGCTGTGTGTATCGTCTCTCTTAAGCATTAATTAGGACAGAGAGGCCCAGAAAGATTCATAATTTGCCCCACGTCACAAACATGGTAAGCTCAATGTTTGGAATTTAAACACATACCAAGGATGACAGCATCTCCTCTCACGGTTATGGGTAAGGAGAGTACTGACCACCCGCTAACAGACTTGCTCGAAGAACCTTGCGATTTACAAAGGCCAACTCCCACCCATGCTCTGGTCTGCAGAGGCCGGGCCAGCTGCCGGGAGACAAGAACTCCTGGCAGGACCAGTCACCTGGGCCCCGCCCAGTCCCAGTCCCACTCTCTGTTCTCCTGAGTCTTTGTTCTCCCGCCTGAGCTGCTGGGAATAGCCTTTCGGGCTTTCTCAGCCAGAAGGACCTGGATCAGAAGTCCTACTCAGCCCTGGCAGGTCAAGTACCCGCGGGAACCAACATACCCAGACGCGAAGCGGACCCCAGTGCCGTCACCCACCTTGGGCATGCAGACGACCAGATGCCCTGTCGTCTGAGACCTTCTAGCAGAGCTGCCGTCAGGTTTCACCTCTGCCGGAAGGACGAGCTGAAATGGCTGAAAGTGAACACCAGGTGTCAGAGAGCAAGTGCATCTGACATGAGAGAGCAGTTGCTTGAGGAGGTATTTTCATGACAAGTTTACGACTCCACATTCAATTTTTAAAGACGAGCTTAGATTGACTAGAAGAGCACTAATACATGGGCTGTGCTTGACATGCATGATCTGTTTTTCCTATTTTAATGAAAAGTCAGTCTAAAGAATAATCATCAATCAAAATCAAAGGAAACACTCATCGGTCCATTTTTGTTAATGTGGCTGGTAAAGAGTTTGCGGATAAAAATCACTGTCATTAGACGTGAACATGTTTCCATTTTAAAGTCTTTGAGCGACCTCCGATGAATGATCAGAATTAGCACAGACTCCTCTTTCAAAAATGATGAAACTACACTTACCAAGAATGGGAAGCATTGGTAATTTAAATTTAAAATGGGCATATTATTTAAATATAATTTCAAGTGTAGCCTATGACATATATAAAAGTCAGCCTTGGACAAGGTAGCCATGCAACAGACACAGGATAAACATATTCATTTATCCAGCCACACAGCGGTCAGCAAGCATTCCTGCTAAATACTCCTCCCCTGGCAGAGTCATGTGCCTAAGAAACAGCTCTCTGATTGGCTTTCTCCTTTTCCATTTTAATATTACTTTAAAAACGTTCAGGCAACTAGCGTCGTCCAAGGGTTGACTTTGGAGACGGAACCAGCCCACAGGGCATCCTCACCTTTCCCTTGACCGTTACTCGCACGAAAGTTGGCTGCACGTCAACATTGATGAGAGAGGTATCCATGTACCTTGAAAATTCAACACATGAAACACACTCAGTCTTGTGAGTTTCCAAGAACATTAAGTTTGCAAACAAATTTACAAATACAAACCCTCACTTAGGGGACCCCTTTAAATGGAGAGAGTTTAAAATGTCCATGCTAAACAGGCCTTAAAAAATTAGCTTTGAGTTAATCCTCAGACCAAAGGAAATGCAACGTATCAGCAATTCCGGTTTTAGGCCCATGAGTACACTTGGCATTGACTGCCCCTAACCCAAAAGTATCAGAGGTCTGAAACGTCAGAGGCTTGCAAAAACCAGCTTGCCATGGTCTTTCGTGAATATTTTATTTTAAGCCCCTAAGACTGACATGAATAGTCAGGGATGCTGACTGCACTCTGCTAGGGGCCTGCAACCCGGGCCCCGCTTCCTTAGCTGCTCTGCATCCCTGGCGGTGCCCTGCAGCTGCCCTGATAGCATCTCCCCCGTGGGCTTTGCTTCCCTGGAAGGCACGGCCTGCTGAGTGAGCAGAGGCTATGGCAGAGACCCCGGGATCGGCTGGCAATTATTCTCCTTGACTTTCTGAGCAAATGGAAGATGTAGATTTCACCTCTCTCCTTTAGCCAAACACTATATATATATATATATATATATATATATATATATATATATATGGTGTGTGTGTGTGTATATACTATAGTTATATATTGTGTGTGTGTGTGTGTATATATATATATATATATTTTTTTTTTTTTGTTTGTTTGTTTGTTTTGTTTTTTGTTTTGTTTTTCAGAGAAGAAGGGAGAGAAACATCAATGATGAGAATCATTGATCTGCTGCCTCCTGCACGCCCCCTACTGGGGGATCAAGCCCACAACCCGGGCATGTGTCCTGACTGGGAATCAAACAGTGACCTTCTGGTTCATATCATAGGTTAACACTCAACCACTGAGCCACACCGGCCGGGCTACTTATATATTTTAAAATACTGATTGTGAGTAGTAGAAAAGCCAGTGATGATTCAAAAACCAGACACATTCAGGCAGGTGGGGAACCCCGGGGTTGCAGGCACAGGCTTCAGTCACACACCTGTGAGGGAGGGCTCCCCGCCTTCCTGTGTTAGTACCTGGGACCACGTTCCTTCACCTCTCTAAGCCTCAGCCTTCTCATCTGTAAAATCAAGATAAAAATAGTGCCTATTCCCTAAGGTAGCTATGAAGATACATGCATGTTGCCTAGTACACAGCTAGTGTTTATAAAACATCATTTTATTTTTACAAAATCCTGGTACTAAAAGGTAGAGTCAAGGTCTCCTAAAACTTCAGGTTCAATACCTGCCGCATGAGTGGATGGCATATTCTTCCTCATGCTTAGGGCCTCGGAAGGTGTGTCCACCTGGCCCGACCGGCGAGGTCTTTGCGTGCGCTGCTTTTCTCTGCCTCAAGCACCCTCCTGCCTGTTCTATGCCGACCTCACTGCTTCTCATCCCTGGATTTTCAGTGCTCAGATCGCTGGCTTTCCCTCACTCTCTGAGTTACCCCCCTATTGGGTAACTCCAGGGTAATAAGCCCTCCTGGTTCACCAGGTTATGAGAGACCGAATAAAAGAGAGCAAGTAAAAAAGTCCTTAAAAAGAGGAAGACCTGTATGATAATTCATGTGTACAAATGTTGGCTCCCATCATCAGCATTCATTCATTCATTCAGTCAGTCATTCATTCCTGTACGTATTGAATTCCCACCAGGTACCAGGCACTGTTTTAGGTGCTGGAGACATAAGAAGGGGGAAACAAGCAAACAAAACAAAGTTCTTGCCTTGACCATAGATTTTTAAAAACACAAGTAAATTTATAGTTTGTCAGGTAGCAATCAAAAAGTGTGTGTGTGTGGGGGGGGGGGTAGAGAGAAGTGCTGGGAGAGGAGTGGGTACTGTTTTATATCAAACCAAGTTTCATTTCAAAATGTGTCACAACTCAAGAGATCGCAACTGAGAATGAAAAGAGGTGAAAGTGCCGTTACATAAACGCACAGTGAAATGTCTTTACCTGTACACGGCCAGGTCCAGGATGATCTGGTTGCGTTTCTCATCATCTTTCAAAGAGAAGTCAAGTCTAAGGAATAACCCATTTTGGGAAGAAAGAAGAGGGGAAAAAAGGTGACGTCTTTAGCAATATTTTATAGGTAGCTTCGTCCCATTACCAAATGCAAATTTCATAATTATTATAATTTCCCATGACACACTTATTTTGGTAGCTGAACAATGAAATGTCGACGTTGATTTAAAAATGTCAACAGGCACCTATAATGTGCTCATAATTTGTTTACATTGCTTAAAGGTGCGGATCTTAAGGTAAATTACATCCACAAAATGGGCATTGTGCAGAGACAGAGACATCTGGTGGTTAAAGTTTTCCTTTCCATTTTACTGGAAATATTGAGAACTAAATGCTGTATTTGTCTCCCCTTATCCAACATGCATGCTAGTCCTTCAGTTTTAAATGGTCTTGTCTCCTATTCCCCAGCCATCTTTTTTCTTCTCCCTCCACCTTTCCATTGCCTTGGGAAATGCTGAGACACTGCCCATTATTTTATTTTATTTTTCTAAAAATATTTTTGAATTGATTTTAGAAAGAGAGGAAGGGAGAGAGAGAGAAACATCAGTGATGAGAGAGAATCATTGATCGGCCGCCTCCTACACACCCACTCCTGGGGATCGAGCCCGCAACCTGGGCATGTGCCCTGACCGGGAATGGAACCGTGACCTCCCGGTCCATAGGTTGACCCTCAACCACGGAGCCACACCAGCTGGGCCTGCCCATTACTTATCCCCTCCATTTCACAGATGAGGAAACAGAGGCTCAGAGAGCTGCCGCCGCTGGGAAAGAGGCCACGGGCCCAGAGAGGCAGGATTATAAAGCCCTAGGCCTCTCAGCTACACCCTGAGGCCAAGTCCTCGGTGTGACTCCCATGCTATGCAGAATCACTGTGTCAGAGTTACTTGGTCACTTTTATTTCCAGCATTCACTTAGCATGTTATTCTGTAAAACACATAACCCAGCAGTAGTGAATATAAGCTCAATTGTTCGGAAAATGTAACATTAGCCACAGGTCTGGCTGTCAGCAGTTTGTCTGCTTGTAGCAGCCACTCTCCTTGATTCCAAGAGTCCAGCTGTACGGGACTGCAGTTACTCAAATGGCCTATGCATTTTTTAAATCTCATCTCGGGAGCTTTGTTAATGTGCTGGCCCCTCTGCCCTGGTTGCTACTCCCCGATGTTCCAGCCAGCCAACCCAAACTCTCCCTTCATACATCACTTGAAAGGTAATTTCAGAGGCTTCCTATGGCAGAGATTGCGTTCATTCCCCATGATCTGCTTCCCCTTTCTCACTAGGAATAGCACCCCTAGGAACAGGGCTCTGCAGAATAAAGACTACATTTTCCAGCCTCCCTTGCAGCTAGATGCGGTCATGTGACTTAGTTCTGGGAAGGAAAGTGTTGTGTGGCTCTTCCTGGGAATTTTCCTAAAGAGAGGCAGTGTGTATCCTTCCTTTCCTTCCCCCTTCTTTGTTCAGTTGAGTAGAAGAGATTACAGGAGGCCAAGAGAGGAACTACGGAGTGTACTTAAGAAGCTACTGGAATTGTCCAGGTTTTGTTGACACAGAATAAGCTCCAGAGGGCACAGTTGGTGTGTGTGTGTGTGTGTGTGTGTGTGTGTGTGTGTGTGTGTGTGTGTGGCAGGAGTGTGGGGGGGAGGGGTCCAGGAGCAGGGAAGAGAATGAATTGGATTAGAGAGGGTAGATCAGATATTATTACACTTAAGGATTTCCAGTGTGAATGTTTTTCCTCTCTCATTAACTTCACGGAGATATTTCTATCCATTTTCCCCTAGCTCCCGAATGCTTTGAGGATGTGTCCAGGGTATAAAGTAGATGGGTTGGAGACATATCAGTATTCTCAGCCAGCGTGTTCATGGCAGAACTTAAAAAATTAATACACACAAGAATGATGCACTGGCAATTTTCAGACATAAAGCTGTAGATGGCCCAAAGTTTCGAGAGAGACATAAACACCCAGGATTTCCGTATGTCAAGATCATTTTCTGGATGTCAAGGCAGTAACATGTAACATTGTGCACCCGGGAACAGAATGGATGCTCTGCTTTCGAATGTGCACACGTGTGGTTCTTGTTAGAGTCACCGACCTGGGGGGGAGAGGTCAGGTCAGGTGTGTTCTCTGCAGAGCAAACCTGTCATGGGCATGACCGACACCACCCACTGGGCTGCTTCGTCTCCACGTGGGTTCACGTACTTGGGCTCGTTCGCGTTCAGGGCCCTGCCATCTGCAGTGACCAACATCCTGGGTGGTTTCCCTTTCTTCTTCTTTTCGCTTAAGGTTGGGGTGGGTGGGAACGAGGGGCAGCGGGAAGAGGGAAAAATAAACAGGAGGAATACACGTTACTGATCTGAGGAAGAGCGTAAGAGAAAGGAATCAGAAATGTGTGACAACACCCACACTTGGCTGCTAGGAAGTGCATTCTGTGCTGGAAACTGACCGCGAAGCCAGGCTTCCGTACGGCTGTATCTATGTCTGCAACGCGAAAATGTGAGCAAGACGATTTGCCAGATAATTTAATGGGGGGAGAAATCCTTTTCCTGCCATACCCATTAATATTCAAATAAGTCAATTTTATGCATGATTTACCCAGATCACTGTCAGCTCTCCATTTGTGTGTGCAGCTTCTGCTTTCGGTAAAATGACAATTTTTATAATGCCACATGGAATCCATTTTATAGAAAGAAAAATACCAGAACATAAGGGCCCATGTAAAAGGTCTAATCACAGCACTTTCTGTCATGGCAGCACTCTGGAACTGCCCCCAGCGCCCGCATGGAGGAGGGACGGGGGCAACATGGTATAGTCACAGATATTCTGTAGCTATGAAAACATGTGCTTGCTCTTCACCTACTGATGTGAAAAGTGACAGAAAAGCATGGATGATGGCCCCAGGTGGTGTGGCTCAGTGGATAGAGCGTCGGCCTGCAGACTGAAGGGTCCCAGGTTGGATTCCAGTCAAGGGCACATGCCCAGGTTGCGGGCTTGATCCCCAGTAGGGGGCGCGCAGGAGGCAGCCGATCAATGATCAAATGGACAAATCTGTTTAGATGACAAAATTGGAGGTAATTCCTTGCCTCGGTTTGTATTGTTCTTTTTTTTAATTTTATTTTTCAATTCCTGTTTATATTCAATATTATTTTGTTAGATTCAGGCGTTCAGCAGAGCGGGCAGACAATCATATATTTTACAGAGTGATCCCCCTGGTATTTCCAGCACCCACCTGGCACCGAACATAGTTCTTACAATATCATTGACTAGATTCCCCATTGTTCTTTTGGTATTTGTGTCAGTTAACTTTATTTTAAAATATAAATGTATTTACACTTTCCTGCCTCTTAAACTGGGCCCCCAGGTCCAATAAATTAATGTTCCTTTGAACATTATTTTTCATGAGCGGGACGATGAAGGGGCATCCGGAACATCTGTTCAGGCAGAATGCAGAGCACTGAGCAGCGGCCGCGCCTTCACCCGAGTCAGCCGTGCTCTCTGAGGCTGTCAGGGAAGGAAAAATGTATCCTGCTTTCAGGCCCAATGAAATGGAATGTCTATATACAGGTTGTTCCCCCAAAATACATACACACTTTAATAGCTGATAGCTGTAGATTCTATGACATTTGGAAAATGAAATGTATTCTACCTTTATAATTATTCAAAGTGGACACACATTTGGGGGGACACCCTGTATATGTATACATTTATATACATATATATAAACATATACAAGTATATTGTGTGTGTGTATATATATATATATATATATATATACACACACACACACACACACACACACACACACACACATATATAGTTGGGTGCATATACATCAGAAATGCTGTACTTGTTAAGTAAACATAGAATTTCCATTTCGAAGAGTTCTTGAGCCTGCAAAGCACTTTTACATTTATTGGCCCATTTGATTCTCTTAACAATACAGTGGGGCAGGGAAGGGGGGTGTGTGGTCCGTTTAACTGAGGAGGAAACTGAGGAGGAGAAGTTACCCAGCATGAGTGGCAGAGCTGCAGCAGGAATCCACACTTTCTGTTGTCATCCAATGTTCTTCCCAAATCACCAAGTTGTACAGACAAGTATTTTAACGAAATTTCTCATGTTTGTACCCGGCTATCTACCTAATTCATGAGGAAAATGTGATGAAAGCAGCACTGGCTTTGCTCCTCTTTTGGCTTCTTACTGCATTTCAGAGCTGACTGACTGCATCCCCAGCTCCCGAATCAGAAGCGTTCCCACGGGTGACACAGTTTGCACGCTGGACTTAAGCAAGGGCATGAACTGGAAAGGCACGGAGCCTGTCTTTCAAAAAATCCTACTCTGGAAATAACGGCTCGTGCGTTCTAGCTTTTGACAATTACACATAAATAACGTGAAAGTGAAAGCATGCCGTTCAATGTCCAAGAGAGCTGCAGTAGGATAACACAGCACCTAGTGAAATTAATTTCTAATTATTGATTTTGCAAATGCAAATACACAAAGGAACTCATTCATCCGACAGAGTGGTCTTTCTCTCGGTGTCAGGATGACTATTACTACTAACCCAGGCCCTACTAATACTCGACATGTTTAAAGAACTAAGGACATCCAAACGAAACTACCGAAAATGCCGTAACTCATGACCTTTTAAAGGTCATTTGATATTAAAATAAATATTAGAGAATACAATTCAACAAAACACTGAACTTAAAAAAAGCACAGTTTATGTGTGATGGCTAAGGAAGGTTGACCACAGATAATGAGTGAAAGAAAAAGCAACCATGAAAATAGAGTCCGTGTGAGAGTGTAACCTTCCTCTCAATGATGGGAGAAACGAAATACCTTAATTTTTCTTTGTCTTTTCGTTGCTTTTCCATATGTCTAAGAGTTTCCAATCTAGACTCAGGAGTAAACGAACAGGGCTTATTCCAGAACTCCAGGTCATCTTCCACGTCGTCTACTTTCTTCTTGCTGGGTTCCCCTTCCTGTACTTCCGGTGCCTGGGGGTGGTCTCTGCTCCCCACAGAAGGTGGGCTAGGAGAGAACAGACAGGCACAGAGCACGTGAGAACACAGATGGACGTGCGGGCTTCATCCTTAACGCTGCTCCTTACGTATCTCATTCATTTTTCTCGTGTTACCTTCTCCACAGAACGTGTCTGAAGGAGAGCTTATCCAAGCCACATTAGAGGAATCACCGGCCCAGCGCGGGCGGGCCCTCTTGGCTGGCGGCTGTCACCAGGAGGAATACGGCAGGAATCAGATTGGAGGGATCACACGCTCGGTGATGGAAGTGACCTGGGAGCCTTATAAACAGTACCTATTCCTGGGCTCTCGCAAGAGAGTCTAACTCAGCAGCTTTGGGTTGAGGCTCAGGAATCTTTTATAATATTTGGCAGGAGGTTCTGATCATCGGGCGAACTCAGGGCCTACTGAGCCTTAGCCCTGGAGGAGGGACAGGGAGAAGAGGGCAGACGCTTCCTGTGAAAACGATGCTGTTACTCCCAGTCACGGGCTTTCTATTTGCGAGCCCATTGGTTGGCTCTCGGAGACAGTGCCAGAGCCTCCACGTACCACGGTGGCTGCCAGAGCCATCAGTGTAACAACAAACTCTTCAGATGAATCGTCTGGGATGCAGGTGACACACCCGGACCCCTTGGGAAGAGAACGCGGTTGGTGGCTTTTAACAAGAGTCAAGGGGAAGATGAACGCTCGTGATTTACATACGGATCCGCAGCGACGTCTGCGTCCCAGCGTCCGTCTGAGCCTGGGTGGCCTTCCTTCTCTCCGCGCTCCTGCTCTTCTCGAAGTTTCCTCTGGGCCTCGCTCTTGTCTCGGGCTCGTCTGCGGCAGTAGGCTTTCTCCTGCTCTCTGACTTGTCGCTCAACTTCAGGGAAGTCCTGCAACGCCTGGATCCTTTCGGAACGTTCTATTTCTTTCCCGTCCAGCCACTGGAATATAAAACAGCCGACACGGAGCGATTATCCCAGAGCCGCCATCTGAATCAGCCCCAGCTGACTCTGATGGGGAGATTTTAAACTTAGAGACAATGAACTGCACCCGGGTGATGGGGGAAACATCAGAAACTCTGATCTCCGTCCATGTTGGTTTCATACGATCAACACTATTCCTTTCAAGTAGATCGCAGCTTTCAGCGAAATAAATGGTGGTTAAGATCCTCAAGTGGCCGGCCGGTGTGGCTCAGTGGTTGAGCATCAACCTAGGAACCAGGAGGTCATGGTTCGATTCCGGTCAGGGCACATGCCCGGGTTGCGGGCTCCATCCCCAGTAGGGGGCGTGCAGGAGGCAACTGACCGATGTTTCTATCTCTCTCTCCATCTCCCTTCCTCTCTCAAATTAGTAAAAATGCATTTTTTTTTTTAAAAAAGATCAAGTTAATCAGCCTATTTTTAAGTCCTAATAAACAGTTATGAATGCTGTTTTCAGGAGAGGCTGTCGCCTGGTATAACCGCCGCTCACAGCGGCCTTTCCGGGAGGAAGGACTTGCTCCGAAGCCCGCACATCAGCCGAGGGAGGCAGCGAGAGTGGCTGCAGTGTGAATGGTGGGCCGCCGGGTTCAAATCGCGCCCGAGCCCCGTGCCCCGTGCCCCTCGCCCCGTGTGTGGCTTCCACAGGAGCACCAGCCGTCCGAGGCCCGACTTCCTACCCCGCGTGCACTCACCATCTATCTCCCTGCTGGGGTCCAGGGGGATCTGAGAAGCGGAGCCTAAAGCACCTGGAGCAGCCGGGGCCTAGGTCTCGGGCACCCACCTGATGGCGCTCACCCTTCCAGCGGGTCCCCGGCCACACGGAGCAGGCTCAGCTGGGACGCCCGCACCTTCCCGGGGACGCGGCTCCCAGGTGATGCCACGGGGCCCATCCCTCGGACACGCTGCCCCCACCGGTGTGTTCGCTCAGAGTCTCTGGGCAATGACCATCAGCCAATGTCTCATTTATTCTAAACATTCCAGATCCAATGACCCGAGTCACTCATTCTCGTCCTCAAGGAAATTCTCCACGAGACATGTGTCCTGTTAACCCAGAAACCTCAGCCCAACGCCTTTAACGGCTCAGTAAGTCAGGAACTGGTTTTGGTTTTCTGGGCTGTGTCGTTCTCTGAGGCGGGAGAACTGTAGCGGCTCGTTTGCATGTTCTCCGCGATTTCTGCGTCCCGGAGCCAGCGATTTCTGCGTCCCCGGAGCCAGCGATTTCTGCGTCCCCGGAGCCAGCGATTTCTGCGTCCCCGGAGCCAGCGTACCTTTAGCTGCCGGAGCGTCGCCACCACGAACTGCCGGTAGCCGTCGAAGTCGGCGCACGGGTTCCCCACGAGGAAGAGCTCCCGCAGGTGGATGTTGCCCCGGAGGGTCTCCACGCTGCTCAGCTCCCCGATGAAATTTACTGTCAGGTCAAGTTTCGTCAGCCCCTCACATCCTGGTGAGAGAAATGAAAGCAAAGAGGGACATCGCATCGGTCATAAAATGTGAGGGCCATCACCGTGAACTGCCGGTGACAGTTCACACAAGTAGCAGCAGCCACAGTGGAGGAGGTCTGCTGGCGAATCGCACTGCTGCCCAGATCCCACCCCGTCACAGCCTCGCACTGAGACCTTGGGAAGTTACCAGCCTCGGCTTTCTCGTGTGTAGAATCAGAATGGCGTTGGTACCCAGGGCAGAGGTTGTTGGGAAGACAGTATGAAATGATTCGTGTGTATTCAAAACCCCAGGCACCATAGCCGAGGTCTCATTACGATATCCCACATGTGAGAGAAAATAGAAGCAGGGTGGGGAGAAGGGACGGAGAACCCTGGGGGTGGGGTGAGAGCGAAGCCTGCATCTTCCTCATCAGGACGTCAAAGGATGAGGCCCCCAATGAGAACAGCGAGGGCCGCAGACACCGCACAGTCCGAGCACGCTGTCTGGAACCGTGCCAGAGCAGAGGGGAGCTGAGGCTAGTCACCCCCAGGAGCAGGGCTCAGGGGTCTGAGGGCAAAATAAAGACCCACCTTTTCCAACAAAAATATAGAGCGCGCTTCGCTTTGACTTTTTAAACTGTGAATTTATTACTACAGTAGACATATTAATCAGTAAAAAGATGACTATCCAAAATGCACAAAAACAGCCCTAGCCGATTTGGCTCAGTGGATAGAGTGTCGGCCTGCGGACCAAAGGGTCCCGGGTTCGATTCTGGTCGGGCACGTACCTGGGCCCTGGTCGGGCAGGGCATGTGCAGGAGGCAACCAATCAATGTGTTTCTCTCCCATCGCTGTTTCTCTCTGTCTTTCCCTCTCTCTTCCACTCTCTCTAGAATATATCCTTGGTGAGGATTAAAAACAAAAAAAAAATGTACAAGAACAAATAAACACTGTTATATAGTCTAGATTCTGCTACACAGGTGATGGCAATTCATGATGTCACATCTTCAAAAGCAATCATATAGATGAAAAAGGACAACAAAGCCGTCATTTCTATTAAACTAGCAACAATAGAGACAAAATTTTAAATACGATTGTGAAGCTTATAAGACTATAATGATACTTTCCAGCTTTCAATCTGACAATACGTAATACAGGCTTTTAAATGTCTTCCCGTGGGTCCAGAATTTCACTTGGATACATCAACTGAGAACAGGTGATTGTACAAAGCTGATCAGAACAGCCCTGTTCACAATGGCAAACGTAATTAAAAACACCTCAGGCACCACACAGTAAGGAGTATTTGAAACACGTCAATATGCTTGGTAATTCAGTCATTAAATTATAAAACTGTGGGCTCGGCCACTTAGATGAAGAGTGAACACGAAACTGCACGTGTCTATACATACAATTAAGGCTGCGTCTCCACGTCTGCATGTTTGTTCTGCGTTGGGAAGAAATGTCAGATGGCGTTTATGAGACGTGGGAGACACATTGGGGCAATCTAACTTCAGGCCCAGGTTCCCGGTATTTCCCAGTTACTCTGACAAATTCTGGGAGCCATTTCCATGCTGTTTCTCTTTCATGTAAGAGCAGCCTGACATGTGAAAGACTCCAACGGGTTTAAGAATTCGTATGTTGTTGGGTTTCGCTGTAGAGTTGCAGATGAAGGATCCTCCACATGGCCATCATATTGTTCAGAGTGGTGGATTCTTCATTTTCCTTCTGCTCAGCCCACACATTGGAAATCCAGCCACATTTGCCATCTTACAGAACGATTCCTGCTGAACGAGCCAGGCTTGAGAATGCCTCCTCGATGGAGTTAGCGCTCCTTTCCTTAGCCGAGTCCCACCCTGCTCTCCGGCTCTGCGATGACCCTCGGCGGTCTGAAGGTCACTGAAATCAACCACGCTGACTGCCCAAGGGCGAAAGCTCGGACTGTTAGGAACCCCACCTCCAGGTCAGGATGGGTGAGGAGGAGGGATGGAAAAAGAAGGTACTTTATTCTATCCCAGGGATTCCACAACAGGGAAAAAGGAAAAAAGGATGCTAGCTATTTTTTCCAGTCCAGCAAAACAAACAGAAATGCAACTTATGTTTAAAATTATATTCAGATTTACTCAAGTGGGTGGGCTGAGTGCGTATATGCATCTTCCTCCTCTCTCACCTTTAAAATGAAATAAAAAGTGCATACTTGCCAGCAGACAAGCGCCCGTCCCTCCATACATATCCTCAAACCACCCTGGCCCAGTGCATCCGTATCAGAGGGGGAGGGGGGCCCCACAGGAAGAGGCATCCAGGTAACAGGCCCCAGGTGGACCCTGGTTCCCAAAGCCCCAAAAGACAACAGTGACGATGCTGCCCTCCAGTGGTGGATGACCAGCCATGCAGCAAAAATAGAATTGTCCCTGTCCTTTCAGATCCTTTCCTAAAAATAAGGAGCCGTGGCCACGCCCACTGAGAGTGAGCGTTTTAATGAGTCCTCTGAAAGCTTAGATTGATATTTAAAAAACATGGACCCTGATTGATGTGTCATGCCTTTGGCTCACAGGGGAACACGGTCACAGGGCTGCAGAGTGGTAGCTGGGAGAGCAATGACTCCGTTTCTACCCCAGAAAAACGCCAGACACGGGAAGGACCATCTCAAGGCCAGCACTGATCTGGCCTTGAGTCTTCGGTAGTGATGACATTCTAGGCTTTGAGGATGAAATCTTAAATGCATGATGAACATGTATGTCAATTTCCGCACCAGGAGGTGAAGAGGCTAAACACGACCATCACTTAAGTAATATCCTCCTAATGTTAGCTCCTGGCAGATGGGAGTAGGCGTGCCTGCCGCTGCGCCCACCCCTGCCCACTCCCACAGCCCACAGCAGCCCTGCCAGCCAGGCCGGAGGCTGGACCTGGGGTCCCAACCTCACAAGGGCAGAGGAGCCCACGCCAGCCACCAAGTCAACCAAATCCTTTCAGATGATTAACAGACACGTAGGAAAAAAACCCACAAAAAACAGTGCAAAACAGCAGCCTGCAGAGTAAAACAGGAAACCTTCCCTTGCAGAACAAGACGAGGCGGGTTAAATAAGGACTGCAGGTTAAAAGGCATGGAGGATCGATCTAGTGCAACCAAAACATATTTAAAAGAAGTTTGAGGGGAGATCAGATAATACAGAGGTGATGGGTATGTCTATTACCTTTGATTGTGGTGATGGTCTCACACGTGTGTGCATATGTCCAAAGCCATCAAATTGCATGCCTTAAACATGTGCAGGTTTTTGCGGGTCAATTATTCCTCAATAAAGCTATTGGTTAAGAAGAGTAATTGTGCTCTAAAGGACGCCATCAAGAAAGTTGACAAGAAACCCCACAAAATGGGAGGATATAGTGTTTACGCAATACTGTTTAAATCGAACCTTGAGTCTCCATTTTAATTCGCAAAAATAAGAAGAAAAGTCTTACCTTCCAGATTTTCAATTTTTTCAATGTTGTTTAAAGCTAAATTCAAATATTCGAGTTTCTTGAGTTTGCTGACATTTTCTGAAATACACAAAGAATGTAATTAACATTCAATATCAAAGACATATTTGTATAATCTATTGTGAAGATGGTAAAGAGAATCGAAGAATTATTATAGCTATCAAAACCATGTTGGTCTTTCAGATCCACACCTGTACCCCACACACTGTGGGTTGGCAACGCAACATCGGTGTCACCCTCCATCCTTTCTCATGGAAGCCAGCTCTGCTCACGTCTCTACCCAACTCCAGGGGTTAGGCTTAGCCTAACTGGGCCGGTGCATGGCAACCCCACGTCCCATGCTAGTGACGGCTCAGGGTCCCAGGTGTAAGTCAACCAGCCCATGGCAGTCTCCTGGCATCGGTGTGATGCGGGGAAGGGCACGCAGGCCAAGTGCTCCCGGCCAGATGGAAGGGGAAGCTCTGTAATCCATGCTTAGGGAGTTCCTTTCTCTTTTTCTGCTGGATGTTTACAAAGGAGGAAGTGTGATCCCCTACTGATACTCAAGTCATCTTGCAACCAGGAGGGTTCCAGGTCCAGGACGAAGCCCACTGTGGCTGCTGCAGCAGAGAGGAGTCAGCCAACCACGAGGTGGAGCCTGCCTACCTCTAGACGCATCGCTGGGTCCGACACTAGGTCTCCTTACTGGAAAGTCAGACCGAGTTGGATCTTCCTTTACTTGGAGCCCAAGCCACCCTGACACAGGACCATCGCTTTTAATGAACATGAAAGCCTATGTAGCCCGGCCTGTGATTGAGAGACAACCAATGAACCAGGAGGTCACAGTTCAATTCCTGGTCAGGGCATGTGCCTGGGTTGCAGGGTTGCTCCCCAGGAGGGAGCGTGCAGGAGGTGGCTGATCCATGATTCTCTCTCATCACTGATGTTTCTCTCTCTCTCTCTCCCTCCCTTTCCTCTCCTCTCTGAAATAAATAAAAATATATTTTAAAGAAAAGGAAAGAAAGAAAGCCTACGTGGGCAAAGCAACCACCGTGAGTAAGTCAAGAAGTCAGTGGCCTTTGCAAGCAGCTAATACCACCAGGGCTAACACTGCTGGGTGCTCCTACACGCCACGGATTTTCTCAGCGTGCTGCATACATGCCGCTGATCCTCCACATGGCCCTGCGCGGTGAAAACCCTGGCATCCTCCCCCTTTCTCCAGGAGAATCCCCAGGCGTGAAGCCTCTCAATCCACGGGTCCAGGGTCAAGCGGCAGAGCCAGGAAATCTGACTCCAGAGCGTGGTGGTGAGTCACTGCGCCTTGAAAGAACAGTCCTTCCTCAGACCCCACGGATGTGAAACCCACCCCCACCCCCCAGAGAAGGGTATGGCTGGGCAGCCCCGCTGAGGGACTGCTTCCCCCGCCCGGGTTTCAGGGTCAGTAAGAGATCAAATGTGATGACTTACAACCATCACCCTTGTCGCCCCGTTTCATTTTAACATTTACGAAATATCATATATGTTATCACAGACCCAAGGATAGCAGTTTCCATCTCTAAGCCCCAGTTGGCTCATTTTTCAAAATGAGAACTTCAGAAAAAATTACGCAAGTGCTCTCAGCAGTTCTGGTACCCTAAGCTGCACGAGGCTTGGCGAAGGCACTCCAGGCGACACCTGAGCATTTGAGACTCAAAGGACATGCAGAGCGCCACGTGACAAGGGTTTTGACAGATAAGGGTGTCTACCCTGCATCCCAAACAGAAACACCTGAAGTTAACACACAGCATCGCCAGCCGGCAATCAAATACCTCCTCTTCCCACACGTGTTATATGCATTACCTCTTCAATGCTAAAAGAGTCATCGGGCAGAGAAAATATAGGTCAGATGTGTTGGGGAAGGACGTGCTGAATGAACTCAGGACCAACGGGCCGAAGGGGTCAGGGAAAGAGAGGCTCATCAGTACAAATGCCTAGAGCCTCCAGCGGGGCAGGGAGGGGTCTGAGCATCCTAGCCCAAGCCATCCCGGGGCAAGCTGCCACCAGCTGCCATGACCAGCCCCATCCTGCCCCAATTCAAGCAGCTCTGGGCTCGCCTGAGGCTTATCGGAAAGTCATTACAAATGCAGATTCTGGGAGCCCGCCGCCCAGGTTCTGAGCCCCACTTAACAGGGCCCCAGAGGGTCCTCAGCTCACAGCTGGACCGACAACTAGCAGAGCCTTCCCCCCAAGCTCATCTGCATCTCCAGTGAGGGGCGGAGCTCAGGAAGGCAAACCTCCACCCCCAGGGCACAAGAGCAAGTGGAATCCAAGAGAGATCCTTTTCCCAGCTACAGGAGTGCCTGAGCGCCTCTGAAAACTCCCATTGTGAACGTGTTAAAAGGCTGTGTAATTTCGGAATACTGTGGAAGCCAAAATGTAAGCCTTCTCACAGCTCTGAAAAGGACTGAAATCTACGCTCTCGGTCGTCATTGTGAGGGACCAGCTGTGCAGATTGAAAAACGCAGGGACTGTCAGAGCGGCCGGGTCAGAATGGCTCTTTAATGCCGCATGCGTGAAAGCTGCAGGTGGTCAGATCGACCTCTTAATTGAACAGTGTGCCAAGGTTCCCGTTTCTGGAAAAGTCCAAGATGCTGGAAATCACGTTCTGAAGAAATAGGAAGAATCCAAATACATCTTCAAAAAGATGATGCAAATTCTAGGTTTTTGCAAATTTAGAGCCAACTGGGAGTTACCCAGCCAACGAGAGGCAAGCGCACCCCAGGTTTCTGGCCCTCAGTGCGCCCGCACACCCAGGCCTGAGAACTTCTCGTGTGAGGCTGCCACCCTGGGGTGGTGAGTAGCATCCCTGGCCCCTGCACACCACCCAACACACACGCACACTGGTGACAACCAGAAATGTCTGCAGACGTGGCCAAAGCCCTTGTGTGACCTGTGACAAATGTCCTTGCCCCGCTGGAGGCTCTAGGCATTTATACTTACGAGCCTCTCTTTCCCTGACCCCTTCGGCCCATTGGTCCTAAGTTCATTCAGCACATCCTTCCCCAACACATCTGACCTATATTTTCTCTGCCACGAGGAGTTAAAACCTAACCTCAAGGGCTCACCTCTGGTTCCAGGCCAGCCCCACAGGGGGTGGCGCTCACTCTGCCTCATCAACCCTGACCCACCCCTTGCCCTCCAGCTCTGGCTGGTCCTCCCTTCTGCTCCGACCTTCATGCGCTGGCCCGGGTGCCCTGGGTACCTGACAGCACGAATCGTGGCAGCAGGTGTCACCCACCCAGTGAGCACAGGCTCCGTGCATCCTTTCACATCGTCCTTACACCCCTTGTGATCACTGGCTGCTATGGCTGTGTCCACTCCCCCAAGAAATTCTTTCTTAGCTGCTGTCTTCCTCTATGGCAGTGGTTCTCAACCTTCCTAATGCCGCGACCCTTTAATACAGTTCCTCATGTTGTGGTGACCCCCAATTTCATTGTTACATATTGAACATAATTAAAGCATAGTGATTAATCACAAAAACAATATGTAGTTATATATGTGTTTTCCGATGGTCTTAGGCGACCCCTGTGAAAGGGTGGTTCGACCCCCAAAGGGTCGCGACCCACAGGTTGAGAACCGCTGCTCTATGGGGAACACTGTCTTGTCCACCGTTCTCCCATTCCGGTGGCTCCAGAAACCATGAGCATAAAGTCCTGGGAACTTACCGATCTTCCCGATGAGATTGTTTTGAAGGTAGAGGATCTTTAAATCGCGGCACCATTTGTCAATGTGCTCCAGCCTCTCTATTTCTTGCTGGTGCAAGGAGAGCTCCTCCAGGGAAAATATCACACACTCGTTGTGCTCGGCATTCCGTCGAATCAGGTCTTCCGTGACTGCAAGGACAATTGTCACAGGTCACACCTCCGCCCTCATGTTCATCATGGGGCGATGACATGACTGCCCCATGGGTCTTTCCTTGCAGATAGATCAAACAGTTCGGAGCAGTGCTGCCCCCTGCTGGAGGTTCTGACCCACCGTGGGGCAGAGGGAAGGGACAGGACCCCATAGTTTTGCCTCTTTTGCGCAGGGTTTACACACATTTTTAAATATATATATTATTGACTTCAGAGGAAGGGAGAGGGAGAGAGAGAGAGAGAGAAACATCAACGATGAGAGAGAATCATTGATCGGCTGCCTCCTACACGCCCACACTGGGGATGGAGCCCGCAACCCCGGTGTGTGCCCTGACCGGGAATCCAACCGTGACCTCCTGGTTCACAGGTGGATGCTCAGCCACGGAGCCACGCCGGCCGGGCTACACACACTGTGCAGTGTGGATGCAGACAGAGTTGATGGGTGAGGACTATGGGCTTGTGGCCATGGCATCTCGTGGTCAAACTGGGTGAGACCGTGGAGGTAAACCAAAACAGAGCAGCTGGCCACTGAGAGGCACAGTGGGGCTGACCGAGGGCAGCAGTGAGGAAAGGTGCAGCCATTCATTCACTCACCTGGTCAGCACTAGTGTCACGAAAGCTGCAGAGGAGAGAGGGACACCCGGAGTTTGCATTGCGATCTTATAGAGCAACCGCCACACGGTCTGTTCCCAGGAGGAACGACAGGAGCCGCTCAGAGGAGGAGGGGCAACAAGAGTCTCCTGCCCGGGGATGGGTAGCACTGGGCTGGCCTGACGGGCACCAAGGGACTGGAGATGGCACCCTGGGGCCCACAGTTCAAACCAAGGACAACACGTAAGTCATCTTCAGAAGATACACTAAAGTCGAGGGAACGTTGACAATGGAGAAACCCTGCATTTCCAGGGCTGTTAAAAATTATTAATCCAAGCCCTGGTTGGGTACCTCAGTTGGTTAGAGCATCGTCCTGATACGCCGAGGTGGCGGGTTTGATCACCCATCGGGGCACATACAAGAATCAACTAATGAATGCATGAATAAGTGGAACAACAAATTGATGTTCCTCTCTTTCTCTCCCTCCCCCCTCCCTCTCTCAAATCAATCACTCAATCAAATTATTAATCCATTTGATCCTTACATTTTAGGAATGTGAAAATATTCCATGTTCACCCCAAGAGATAATAAAAAATCATTTATTGCTCATTTACAAGGTACCAGGCACTTCCCTAAATGCTTTGCATGTAATAATATATGCGTAGATACAGTATCTATTTACATCTGTCAGGAGAGGACTGAAGGTGCAGTTTGCAAACTCGCCCAAGGTCCTAAATGTGTTGAGGCAAAGCCCTGCACAGCACCTTCGGCTGCCCCCCGGCCATGCCACATCCTTGAAGCGAAGTTGGCCTTTATTAAAAAATATGAAACATGTATGAACCCGATCATTCGTGTGCAGTTAGCTGAGCCCTCCGCTACTTGTGGTGACAGGAGTGGCTTGCCATGTCCGTTCTTTGGAAGAAAGACAAGGGAAAGGGAGAGGTGGGGAGAGAAATACCACGCAGGGGAACGTGCCCACTGCCCTAAGCTTTGGCTCCACAAACAGGCAGAGATGACTGCACATGTGGCTGGGGAGGAAGAGGCTAACTGGCAGCCCGCCACCAGGGCTTGCTGGGCGCCCATGGCCTGGGGCGCTCCTCTGTCCCTGGAGGCCCCTGCTAGGAGGCAGGCCAGCTTGCAGACAGGCATGGTGCTCTTGGTATTTTAAAGGAGCACCTTTACACCACTAAGTCTGTAAAACGATATTATTATTCCCTTATTGTTTTGGAGATGGGGAGGCTTAGGCCCAAAGGGCTGAAGCCCCTGGCTCCTAGCCAGCAGCTGGAGGAGGGCAGCCAGGCTCGGCTCCTGGGCCACTAGGCACACTGCCTTGCCAAGGGTCTGAAGGCTGAGGCTCTGGGACAGTGAGGAGCCCGGGACCACACAGCAAGCAAGGCCGGCGCAGGCCCGACCTGGGGTGTCTGACCCCAGCACTCACTGCGCCTTTCAGCCACCCTCTCGCGCACCCCACTTCATAGAGGAGGACCCTGAGCCCCTCAAGGGCCAGGCTGCCCGGTGGGTTGGAGGCGGTCCTGGCACAGCTGGGTCTGCCCAGGGCCAAGGGGCGGGATTTGCCGAGCTGGGCTCGGGCCCGCGGGCGGAAGGGGCAGCACTGGTCCGAGCTGGCGCCGAGGGTCCTAGCGGACCCGGGCAGATGCCAGGAAAGGGGACCATCGAGAGCGAAGGTGGGAGAGGAAGGGGCGCTTACTCCGGCCCATGGTGCCTCTGCGGGTTCGTGGGCCCTGAAGCCGGACACAGAGTCCCGCGAACTCCGCTCACGCGTCCCTGTAGCGGCTCTGCGCGCCCACACCTGCCCTGGGAACCATGGCAACGGGGACTCTACGGCGGCCGCGCGGGGCCAGGCGGCGCCGCGTTTCCTGAGCGCGGGAGGAGCCGAGAGGTGAGACCCGCGGTGGAGGGGCTCCCGGGAGGAGACGGGGCTGTCCCCACCCCAGACCTCGCCTCTTCCCCGCCCCACCCTCGACCTGCCACAGCCTGATCCCCTCCCACAAAGCTCTGGCCAGATCCCCCCAGAACCACACGGGCCCTCAGTTCCTGGTGGGACCCGCCTGCTGGGCCTGCCTCCTGGCCTGCCCTCTCCCCTTTTATCTTTTTGTATTTTCTCTCACACCTTCCGGAGCCAGGCGATCTGGATTTGGCCTCCACTCCACGTACTAGCGTGTGACCTTAAGCTTCCTGAGCCTCAGTTTCTCCCTCTGTACGATGAGTAACGACAATGACCGCAAGGGTCCCTGGGAAGCTTGAATGAGATCATGTGCGTGAATGAGAGACACTTGGTAAAAACAGCGGCTCAATATAAAGGTTCGTTGTCTTCTCTTGAAAGTCACAGCCCAACACCATTCAGTTTCCTACAGAAAAGTTTTCTAAAAACACCACCCACTAGGAAGGCCTGGGGGCAGAGGGGCAGGGAGGGGCCAGAAGAGGTAAATGGGGGGTGGGGGGGGGGGGAAGGGACATAAGTAGTACTTCCAACAATCAAGATTAAAAAAAAAAAAATTAAAAAAATAAAACACCACCCACTACCCCTCCGTCAACTCTCCCTACACACCACTGTCTTAATGGTAAAGGGTAGGAAGTCTACCTGCTGTGGCTCGCACTCACCTCCCAGTAAGCCAAGCCTCTCTCCTAAAGTGCCCCATACACTGGACCAGGGACGCTCATTCGCCCTCAGATGTTTGGAAGTCTTACGCCTCCCAAAAGTTGTTTTATTTTTAATGTGTCATTATTAGAAAATTATTACCCTCTACCCCATTTGCAGCAACAACAAAAGGCAACATGTAAACGATTAAAACAGAAGCCCCCTCCCATCCCAGTCATAGTCTTGCCTTGATATGTGTATGATGTTTGCATTTGCAGAGAAGATTCATAGAGCACTGCTGAGTGTTCATGGTTCGTCGTGGGCAGTCACGAGGGTTTGCAGGATGGAGGCAAGCGCATGGATCGAGTCAGAGCGGCAGGAAAGCCAAAGCAGGGGGAGTGGTGTAGGGACTAATCCGCGTGGCAGTGGAGATGACTGCATAGAGGGGGTTCTGGGACAGTAAATCTGAGAAATTAATCAGGGTAGTGGAGGTGTTAGATGCCAGGCCAAAGGAGCGGAACTGGAACAGTGGGGTTTCAGTGGAGTTCTAAGGAGGTACCCAAAAGCCACCCAAACTATTAATTGAGGTGATATCCACCATCATTTCGCCATATTTTGGAAGGAGGGCGGTGTGGGGTGAAGAGTCTGACCTCTGGCTTCGGAGAACCAGTTCCAACCCACAGATTTATTATTGTGTGGCATTTGCGTGGCACCAGACAGGTGACTCCACCTTCAGAGCTAAAGCTTACCCATTTCCAAGTGAAGGTAACCACACAGACGATCATGTATGGCCAAGCCACTGGCAACTGTGTGTGCTGGTGTCTGATTCCTCCTGGAGGAGATGGCCTGCCATCAGCAGCAAATATGCTTGTGCATGAATTTGAGCATTTTGACAGTGAGGGGTTCATCAAGGCTAAAACAATCTGGCTGCTGGCAGGAAGCTGGTGCTAGGGGGTATCCAGATAAGAAGATAGTTTCTAAGATGACAGAGGCATGAAGTGAGGTCCAGTATAAAGGATCTCAGGGTCTGGGGTCCAAAGAGGGAGACAGTCTAGGACTCCAGAAAGTTCTCAAGAGCAATTGCAGCCCAGGTGACTGGTATATTGACTCTGAGCTTCTATCCCTGCCTTCAGACAAACTCACTCTTGAACTCTCAACCTCACTCTTAAACTCTGTAGTGGTCCTCGGGGCCTTGCATTCTTCCTGCAAAACTTAATCCCTTTGAAACTGGGGTCTTCTATTGGTCCCTCCACAAGTGAAGCAAGGGAACTATCATTCTGCATTTGTGCTCAAGGCTGCCCAAGTGCTTTGAGGTGCTAATTAATTCTCACAGCAACCCTTGCCTACAGGCAATGTTATCCTCTGCATGTTACAGATAGGGAAACGGAGGCCCAGTGAGATTATACCGCCAGGAGGATAGTGGATCCAGGCTTTTGTGGCCTAACCTGCATCCCATACGGCATCATTTTCGAGGCTGAAAGCTACGTAAGTGCAGGAAGGGAGTCCATTTCTCATCTCTGAATCCGAGCTCTCAGCACAATTCCCGACACTCACTAGGTGCCCAGTACCTGTTAGTTGAATGATTGAATGAACGGGTTGGTGAGCCAGCCTCTCTTGGATAGTGGCTGTCCTGGGAGAGGACCACGTCTCATGACTTCAGTAGGATCATCACGAAGGCGCCCATTGTTTGAGGAGATGTAGCAGGCTGCCCTGGAAGGGTGCCCCATCCTCTGGTCATCAGACACTTCTGTGTCTTTGGGACCTTTTCACCCAAATCTAGGCTAAGAACTCCTTCCAGGAACAGGGTCTTGACAGGTGGTTCCAGCGCTCTGGTGGGACAGAGCGGAGCCTTGGGTGATGGATGAATCAGGGAAAGCAGGAGCCCTACTTAATAATGTGTCAGGGGCCAGGCTGGGCTGGTTATGCCGTGCCCTCCTCCCACCAACATCACAGTGTTTCTCAGAAGCAGAGCGCCCACGGGGCATGAAGGACAGGCGCACCGATGAGTGATGAGCGGTGGTGGCTACAGTCCAGGGACAGGAAGGGAAATTGGGCAATCAATCACACAACGTGACAGCTCCGAGTCAAGTCGAGCTCATTTCACTCAAACTGGCCGAGACAGTTGGAGGAGTCCCGGTGTGTGTCTGTTTATGCAAATCATTATTCAAAAGAGACTCATTTCTTGGGCTCCTGGAAATATGACAAGATGCGTGGTGCTTCCTGAGGGAACTGCGACCCCGTGTTTGTGCATATACACGGGAGAAGGAAATCTGGAAGAAGGTGTTTGGCAATTCCAGGAGCAAAGTAGCCTTCCTAGTTCTTCTGCGCTGGATAAACTCCAGGGACATTGACCTGGAAAGCTATTGGGTTCTTTTTATCTTCATTACTATATATACTTTAATATTTTTATGAGGAGTAATTAGCACGGTGGTTACAATTCCATTGTATCCCATTAATTTTCCTTCAGCAGTTTCCTCATTGCAACTTTATGGCAGGTCAACAGCTCCCATGTTTACTGGCACCTCTAGACTTTCAGTTCATTCCTTGTTTCCTCCTTTCCTCCCTCCCTTCCTTCCTTCCTTCCTTCCTTCCTTCCTTCCTTCCTTCCTTCCACCTTCCTTTCTACTTTCCTCCTTCTTTCCCTCTTTTCTTCCTTCCCTCTTTGCTTCCTTTCTTCCTTTTCTCCTTCCTTCTTTCCTTCCTTCCTTCCTTCCTTCCTTCCTTCCTTCCTTCCTTCCTTCCACCCTTCCTTCCATCAGCAAATATTTATCAAATGTCTTCCCATACACCAGGCACTGTGAGGAATAATTGAGACAAATGAAAACTGTATCCACAAAAACATTAATCTTGCCTTAATATAATCTACCAGGGTATACTTGAAAGGAGGCCCCTGGGGAAATTGCAAGTAGCTGCCAATTTTGCTAATGATAATAAGTTTATTTTAATTGCTAATATATTCCTAATTACTCTAGTTCTAAAATGTTTACTTCGCTGTCAGTCATCTGCTTTGATTTATGTGCTTTGTGGAAAGACTTTGTCACATCAATCAAGTTTGGTGGCAGCTGCTGAAAGTGATTTCACCTTCCTTGTCACACGGCTTGGCAGGGGACCATTTGTCCAAGGGCAGAGGGGGGCCGTCCCCACCAGTTCTTCTAGAATCCACGGCTTCCCACTGCAGCTTAGAGGAAAGTCCTATTTTAAGGGCTTTGGTTACATGGGCAAAGGAGACTGACATTGGCTGTTCCAAACTCTGTGTTTATTTATTTATTTATTTATTTATTAAAAACTTTGCCATATTCTTTTTTCTTAAAATATATTTTATTGATTTTTTTACAGAGAGGAAGGGAGAGGGATAGAGAATTAGAAACATCAATCAGCTGCCTCCTGCACACTCCCTACTGGGGATGTGCCTGCAACCAAGGTACATGCCCTTGACCGGAATTGAACCTGGGACCCTTCAGTCTGCAGGCCGACGCTCTATCCACTGAGCCAAACCGGCTAGGGCCCAAACTCTGTTTTTAATGTAATCTTCTCCTGCCTGTTCTGTCTCCTCTTACATACCTGAACATATGTGTGTATGTGTATGTCCCCAAATAATTGTTTCAAGTATGTGACAAAGATCCCTAACCTGGGTGGGCATTAGAGAGGCCCATTAATCCATTTATTCATTATCTCCTACTCTCCCCGCAAACATGAGATTGAGCCCCTAGTGTTGGGGATAGACTAGTGACCAAGACTGATGAGGTTTTGACCACCCCAGAACTTATATACTCATAGGAGGAGACAGATGGTAAACAAGTCAGCACGTGAATACTACATAAGGTGGTTGCAGATGAAATGTGCTATGAAAGGGACATGGGGCTGATAGGTGAAGTTCGGAGGAGGGCGACTCGGGGCAGTCAGAGTAGGTCACATTTAAGGTGAGATCTGAGCACAAGAAGGAGGCAGTTATATGAGAGCTAAAGGAAGATTCCCCCCCCCACCCCCCGGGGAGAAAAGGTGCAAAAGCTCTGAGACTGGGGAGCGCCTAGGCCTGTGAAAGGAATAGAAAAAGGCTACTAGGGTGATGGGGCAGGCCAGCAGAGAGGAAATGTTGAGGGAGAGCTGGGAGGCAAGCACTCCTGGAGGAGCTGGTAAGGAGATAGGGGGTGAGTCCAAGTGATAGCCACGGGCAGGTACAGAAGGTGGCCATCCACTAGCCCGCCCACCCCTGCCGTG